AGATAGATAGATAGATGATAGATAGATAGATAGATAGATAGATAGATAGATAGATAGATAGATAGATAGATAGATGATAGATAGATAGATAGATAGATAGATAGATAGATAGATAGATAGATAGATAGATAGCCGACATAAAACAAGTCAAGCGCTGACACAAAAACACAGAGAGGACGACTATCCGAGTAGCGACCGATAAATTCTCTCCTCTAAAATTGTCTCCTTTCACCTCCTTTCCTGCTCTCTAGCAATGTTCTGTCGTCTGCTTTCGTCTCCTCTTTCTGCCCCCAACCTCTCACATCCTTTGTCCCCTCCTCTTTGCTCCTGACTCTTTCTACTCCTTGGCTTCTTCTTACTGGTGTCTTTCAGCCACACCCCTGATCTTCTGATAGGAAAGATCTACACCTAGCCTACTCGGACAAGGGCTAAAATCTCAGAGGGCCCGGGTGCAAGTTGCGAACGTTTAAGATCCCTTGGTGGTCTAAAATCGATAAGAGTAGGCTTCGGCCGCCACCCGGGAAAAATTCAAAATTTCCTACCAACTGAAAAAGTTAAATGTGTCCAGCACGCTCATATGACCTTATGCAGTTGCGAGCGCCGTAAAACACTTACCAAAAAACAAAAAGACCATCAGGGTTTTTTTTACACCACAACCATCGAGGAAACAAGGTTCCCACCCACCTGAGCATCTGTTACTTCGCTGAGGTCAAGAGGTGAGCGTACATTGAAAGTGCGGACGTTACTCTCCGTCTTCCAAAGTCGCTCTATGGCAGCACGCACCACATACTTGACATAGCCGTTCTCACTGGTGTAAGAAGAGGGGGCTGTGGCAGGAACGGGGAAGGCGAAAGGGAACGTGTGCTGGCCTTTCTTGAGAATGTGGGTTGAGGAGAAGTCGTGGTTGGAACGGACATCTGTGAAATTTGGTTGGGGGCAGGAATGGAAATGAAGATAAAATACCTGTTTTTTTCAAAAAAGTGTTTTTTCTTCTTTTTCTTGTTGTTGTCGTTGTCGTTGTTGTTGTTGGTGGTGGTCGTGGTGGTAGTGAGCTGTTGTTGTTGTTACTGTTGTTGTTGTTGCTGTTGTTGTTTTTGTTGTTGTTGTTGCTGTTCGTTTATAATCAACCGCGTAGTCACAAAGCAGTTTATCGTCTTAATCTTGATGAGTAAACTAAAAACTAGTCTAGATTTTAATTACCTGTTTTTACGTGGTATATGTGCCAGGATCTTACCAGGAGGAAAGACAACTTTAGCATCGTGCATGTAAACTTCGTCTCCCGTGGTGGTTGGGCTCACTCCGATTTGGATCTCCGCCAGCGGTGCTGCATTCTTTGCGTCCATCCATTGAACATGACACTTCCCAAAGCATTGGACAGAAATACCTGTGTAGGAAAGGCGTGGAGGGAAGATGGAAAAAGAACAGTTAGTTGTTTGATGTGGAGTGAAGGTGAATTGGGGGGGGGGGGGTGGCTGAATTGTACACGGATTTACACGAAAAAGAAACAACATGACTCTAGTCCATGAGAAGCAAGTGTTGTAAACTTTGGACTTAAGCTTTACATTTTGTTCATCGATCTTCAAATCGAAGTGGCAATTAAAACAAAAAATGAGAATGTTTATTAAACATGGTCAGCTTTTGTAAGCACTGGAGGACAGTACTGATCAAAAAACAAACAACGCGCAGAAAAATTGGGCGTTTCCAAAATTTCCATCATTCCCAAACAAATACAAGTGAAGTGCAATACTATTATGCAAAAAGCATATTTCAAATGCATTGTATTAAGTAACGCTCTACTTGTCAATCCCGCTTACAAAACGGGTGTTTTTCAAAATCATGTACCTAACATATTTTCGCCTTTCATAGAAACAAGCAAGGTCAACTGCAGGGCTCGCGAACTCGTATTCGCATACATGTAATTTCTTTGTTTTAAAAATCGCAACCGTTGAAAGACCAACACAGCTGGCAAGTTGTTTACCAGTGACCTCCGCCTGCAACGCGTTGATATCCTGTTCTCATCCCGCGTGTTTGTCCTGACATTATACGTTCGTCACCTGGAGTTACCTTCACAGCTTTGTTACGAATTTCCTCGTCAGGAATACTCAGTTTGCTCGCAAGCAGGTCCAGATGCATCATAATCTTATCGAGGTGAGAGTAGGCTTACAATTCAAAGTCAGCATGCCCTGGTTAAAAATGTTTGTTATCAGTTTAACAGAGCTACTGTTCACGTGAAAATAGAAAGAACAAATTCCATGCTCCTTAATATACTGGCCTTTGTGCTATTCATTGTTTAGAGTTGGTGAAGACCAAGGAGATTAAAAGTAATGGAGGATGCCCTGTGGGCGGCACCGCACGCCTGATAGGAGCCCTCTCTCGCGGCGGAACTGTGGTCTACCTGCGCT